GACAGCTTGCTAGAAACAAAGTGCCAAAAGATCCATTTTAATTCGTGATTGTTTTGTTTTTTTGCTTAGTTATTTATTATGTGTGGATACAACACATTCCTGACCTTCATTCATGGGTCAGTTTTTATTGGCTCGAATAAAAATGACATGAAAGTATTTCATAAAAATAGACTGGGAAGAAGGTGGGAATGTCAAAAGAAAACAGTGAAAAACCTTCGAAGGGATTAATAAATTTAATTACAGTCGTTTAATTTGGTGAAAACTCAGGGAGATTCTGACTTATTTAGTTCAATTTTGTCTCAAAGACGGAGCCTGAGAGTTGGAGGAGTTTTATGGAGTTTCAAATCTTTGTGACTTGGAGCCACAGCTGCATCTAAACAGCATCAAAACACAAACAACTGGAATAAACACCACAAAGACCTCGTGAGAAGCTGAAGGACGCCTCTGAGGAAACCTTCACCAGACAAAGAGCTCCGGCTCTGAGCTTTTACTGTGAGTCCTGAAACACAAAGGAGGGAACCAGGTCCAGACTGTAACAGGGTCAGAGATGGAAGAAAAAGGCTCAGTTTGACACTTTGCAGCTGAGTTTTCTCTTCTGGCCTCGGCAGACGCCCACTGGGAGATTGGAAAAACATAAATCAGCGATTGGAAAAGAGTCTCTCAGTCTGTGTTGTTTTCAGAGATGTTCAGTAACGAAGTAGAGCTACTTAAGTACTGTACTTAAGTACCAAAATGCAGTATCTGTACTTTATTGGAGTATGTATTTTTTTCCCTACTTTTACTTTTACTCCACTATATGTTTTTGATTAATTTAATACTTTTACTCAGATCGATTTTTCACGGGCTGAATCGTTACTCGTTACTGATAAATAAACGTAATGATAGATAGCTCTGTCAGGGTTTGTGAAGCTGGCCGATTTGAGCCATCAAGCTTTGCCTATAAAAAAAAGCCTCCCAAAAGATCCGAAATCATGGCCTTAAAAAATTCCCCATCTAATCTGAAGAAGCATATCAAGGTAAGTAAAAAAACAAAACAATAACAAATAAGCTAGTAAATAAGCGCTAGTTCAGTTCTCCCTGTTCACTCAGGACATAGTAGCTAATATTAGCTAAAGCTAACCTAGCTGGCTAGCTGTATGCTTACGTTAGCTAAAGCTAACCTAGCTGGCTAGCTGTATGATAACGTTAGCTAAAGCTAACCTAGCTGGCTAGCTGTATGCTACATGCTAGCATAAAGGCTCAGCTCAG